CTTCTGACTGTTTTTATAAAAAAAAGTAAGGAAAAAGAATTCTTTGTTCTATGGTAAATAAACCAGATATTTCCCTTTGCAAAACATATTTTAGCCTGTTGTGTAAAATCCCGCTATGTATTTGAGCAAAAACCTGACAACACATAATTAGCATACGCCCTTCGAATGGTAGATGGCACGACTCTGCACCGATTACTTTTTTTACCAGTACCTTAGTAATTAATTTCCAAAACCGGGAATTCTGAAGTCATATTTTAGTCTTTTTATGAGTTTAGACAGCAGGACTTTTTAAAACTCTTAATTGCTACTCTCTTAAAATGAATTAGTCAAAAATAACTAATTATAAGTCATATCTGACTAATTGTCATAGCGAAAAAGCAGTCACTAATAATTAGTCAAATTCCACTGAATGAAATAGTCAAATTAGTAAATTTAAATTTAAAAAAAGTTTTGACCCAGCCTGGGATTGAACTCAGGTCTGTCACTTGACAAGTTTGTCAAGCTAACCTCAAATTTTTTTTTTCTTTTCAAATTCCAAAGTAATTTATTTAAAAATAATACATTGTAAATTTTGTAAACAGCCTAACTATAAAAGGTATAAAGGGGGTTTAGAGAATTTAGAGAGTTTAATAATTTTGAGGTAATCCTGACAAGGATATGTGGTCGAAAGGGGGAGATATGAAAAAAGTATAAAGTGAAAAAATGGGTGAAGTGTAAAATTTTGAGGTGACAGGAAGGTTAAAACTTGAGTAATTAACCTCCCTGTCTGAACTTTATACCGCATAGGGGCCCAGTTTATTAAATTACTCAGTACTATTCCATTTTTACTCGCATAGCGATTTTGGGGAAGATACTCAGTAAAAATTTCAAGGAAAAGTAATGGAAGATAATGTAAAAGGTATAAATAAAATAAAAATTGTGAGTGATTTGAAGGAAAAACAATTTGAAAAAACCTTCTTTAAAATTTTGATAATTTTAAGAAAGAGGGGATAGTACAAGAGGAAAAGGAAGAGTATAAGTGCCGAATATATTTAGGAAAATTTTGAAAAAAACCTAAATATGAATAAAAGAGGAAAATTAAAGTAAATTAATAAAAAACCTCGCTGTGAATGGTAGGTTTGAATTAAAGGCAAGCGCGACTATTGAAGAAAAATAGGGAGTTTCCTATAAATAAGGCCGTGTCTAATGTTGTGGTTGTCAAAGCGTCTGATGTGTGTAATTTGTGATGTTAAGTTAGAATTTTGAATAGAATTTTCATAAAATTTGCTCGAAATAACAAAAACGAAATCTTTAATGTATTGGATGCCCGTCATATCATGCATGCGGGCGATCCTTGTGTATCTGTCCGAGTTGGTGACATGTCTGAGGGCCTGGTTCTGCAAACGTTGCAGAGTAACGTAATTGGTCTCAGACATGGAGCACCAAACCGGACAGCCGTAAGTTAGGATTGGCCTGATTAGTGTTTTATATAAAATAATTTTGTTTTCAAGGCTCAGTGCACTCCTCTTATTAATAAGAGGGTACACTGAACCGATTTCCGAAAAAAGTTTGCGTTTAAGTGTATTAATGTGTTGTGTAAATGTGACTTTGTCATCTAGGGTAACACCAAGATACTTAACCCTTCTCTTGATTTCAACATCATTTCCACATACCCTGATCGGTGAAAAAATTTTATTGTTAGTAAATTTTTTCGAAAAATGAATTGCTTCGGTCTTCGCGCCGTTAATTTTGATTTTCCACCGATCAAAGTATTTCTGGAGTAAATCAAGGTGGATTTGTACCTGTTTGGCAGCTACCGACGAATAGTACGAATCGGTATATAAGGTGGTGTCATCAGCATACAGCCCCAGCTTCGTACGTGGAAACTTCGGCGTATCACTTGTATAGTGTAGTAGTAGTATAGTGTATACAGTTTCGGTGCCAAGACTGTACCCTGAGGAACACCAGCATTAATCGACCGTACCCCGGACATTTGACCATCCACCTTGACTTGAAATGTCCTGTTTGACAGGTACGAATTCAAGAGAAGTGTTAAGTGATTGGGAAACCCTAGGACGTGTAACTTGTGTATTAGCCCGTTCAACCAAACTGTATCGAAAGCCTTTTCGATGTCCAACAGAACCATAACCGTGTTATGACCACGATTATTAGCCTGCTGAACATCGTTGACCACCCTCACAATCTGGTGAACGGTGCTGTGCACTGTTCAGGGGGAGTGATGTTGTTGTCCAAATCGAAGGTATTAATTCTGGCTAACATAATCCGTTCCACCACTTTGGATATAGTGCTGAGCAAACTGATCGGCCTGTAACTTGTCGGTTGGGTATACCTGGTTTAGGCAGCGGGATAATGACTGCGTGTTTCCACTTGGCTGGAAAGTGCTGAAGCCTCAGAATCCCATTGATAATATAGGTTAGCTGGACAAGCGCTTTGCGGGGAATATTTTTCAATAAAATATTATCCACGCTGTCCATACCTGGTGACTTGCGATTAACAAGCCTATTTAGAATTCCTCGAACTTCAGCAGGGTTACACAGCAGGTCACTCAATACCTCATTTGACAAGTTACCAGGTACTGAGTCGCGTAAATTTTGGCCGGAGATGCTAATTTCAGTCTGCTCAGCATCCAAATTGGTGGTATCTGTCTGATGGACAGAGGCAAAGTGGTTAGCCAGAACATCCGCCTTCTCCTTGTTAGTGACATGTTCTGTGTTTTGTGTTACGATTGTGGGTATTTGTGTTCTTACGTTTTTTAATTTTTTTGTGATCTGCCAGATTGAGTTGTCTTTAGGAGTTAATTTTGAAAGTAAATCATGCCATCTTTGATTCCGTAAAACATGAATATCATTTTTGATCTCCATCCTAAGGGCATTATACTCATTTTTGTCAATTACCCTTCTATATTTATTATATTGCCTTTTGAAATTGTTCTTTAGTTTAATTTTGTTGACAATGTCCAGAGGTAACCTATCCATCTTATTTTTCAGAAGTTTTCTTCTGGTGGTCCTCGACCTAGCAGCAGATTCTCCGTAAAGATGTCCACCTCACGCTCCAAGTCATCAACGCCAGCAAAACGACTGTTTATACTGACGTTGGCATTCAGAATGGCCCTGAACGTGCCCCAGTCGGTACTTCCATAATCAAATATGTAGCGCTTAGCTGGGGGGTCTACCCTCAGTTTTATGGAAGTAACCACCGGAACATGGTCAGAGTCAAGCTCATGCTTGAGGAACGGAGCAATTGCAAGGTCAACATCCTTACGGACAATCAGTTCTATTGTGCTAGGCGTAGTGCCATTAGCCGGATAGTGCGTAGGCTCAGGAGGGTTCAATAAATAATTATACAAACTAAGCCCATTAGTATTGGCCTGATTACACTCCCAAGCCTGATGCTTGCTATTGAGGTCACCAACCAGAAGAACTCTAGCATTCGAATCAAAAATGCCATCTAAATCATCATCGCTAAAATGGTTGTTAGGAGGGTTGTATGCTCCCACCAACACAATTCCACACACCTTAATTGCAATGTGCTCGATAGAGCAATTTATGCTGGGCAATCTGGTGTGCGGAATATGCCTTTTTACGAGCATAGCAACCCCCCCACCAACATGTTGCGCTTGTCTATCTTGCCTATGTACTATATAATTTTGAAACTTTAATTTGTCAGAAGGAATTAACTTAGGGCCGGTTTTTCAATATGTAGTTTATTATAAATTATCTTTAATTAAAAGTTAACCAAAAAGTTTCGTTTTTCAATTGTGAATTATAGTTTGATTCTTAGTTAACTGTAAATTAACTTTACTGGTGGAATATATATGAGTTAATTGTAAGTTGGAAGTTAATATTTACTTTATAACCTCCAATGTGCACTGTTTGACATGTGTTAAATATTTATATATAAATAAAATGGATTTTGATATAAATGCATATAGCAGTGATGACGAACCTAGAAGGCCAAAAATAATTCGTCACAGAATTAATCATTTTGAAGAATGGGATGACTTTGATTTTTTTGTTAGATTTCGATTGAAACGGAGGACTGTTGAAAATTTATTGGAAGAAATAGCAGATGTCCTGCGATATCCTACAAACCGGTACATTTGTTGTTAAATAGTCTGTCCATTATTAACACATATAACTTCTCTGTAGGAATGATTGTCTCTCTCCACAAACGCAGTTGTTATTAGCGTTGAGGTTTTATGCAAACGGATCTTTTTTGAGTGTTGCTGGCGACTTTGCCGGGGTGCACAAGATTACCGCCAGCAAAACAATTCGCCGTGTGAGCAGATGTTTAGCAGCATTGAGACCCACGTATATTTCTATGCCCCGTGGTAACGGGTTGGCCAGGATCGAGTCACGACTCACATATTTTTCGTAACTCTGCTATTCGAAATTCGTTCGAAATGGCTCATTTTGGAGATAGTCTAATGGTGGGAGATTCGGGATATGGCATTAGCCCCTATCTAATAACCCCCTTAAGACAGAAAATTTATTTAACGAATCACAAATAAGAACGCGTAATGTGGTCGAGAGGTCGTATGGGGTGTGGAAACGACGATTTCCTGCACTTGCAATGGGGCTCAGGTTGAAGCTCGATACTATTCAAGTGGTAATAGTAGCTACTGCTGTACTGCACAACATTGCATGTAATGAAAATGGGGATATACCCTGTTAATGAAGAAGAGGAGGCTGCAGTAAACTTCGTTAATAACGTTCCAGTGGAGGACTATCCCGCACCAAGAAATAGAGATGGCCTTAATAATATAACCAGGCATCAGTTAATATATAATTACTTTGCCCGATTATAATTATGACACGTTTAAAAAAATATACGTATAGATATTGCAAAAGTATTTTATTGCACAGATTATCAAAACGCCAAATGAAACACAAACTAAATGCTACATAACAAAAGTATTTCACAAAACAAAGCATATACTCTTCATCATTAAAAACATAAAATTGTACTTTCACTTTGGGTGTTATTGCCTCTAAACTTACTCACTATATTGTTTTAATTTTTTCTCAATCAGTTCTTGTTTTTTTTTAAGGATGTACATCTTCAGCAGATGTTCTTCCATCAATTTCTCCTTTTGTAGTTTAACTAAAGAGATTTTTTCTTCTATAAGTTTTTGACTAACATGTACATACTTTTTATTGACTGATTTCTTATGTACAAGAAGAGGTCCCTTACGTCTAATTCCAGTCTTTTGGGTTTTGAATTGTAATTTAGTTGACACAGGCATTTTTAGTTTAGCTGAAGAGTAATGTGTCCAGTTATTCCCTGCCGCAGCCGGATCATCTTCAACATTTGTGCCTGACGGGTCAGCATCCAACAGACTGGCATTTTCTTCAACGATTTCTTCAATAATAATGTTGTTGTAATCAATATTCTCTGCATTATCACCACTGTTAGCATTACCATTACCGTCAGCATTAGCATTACCGTCAGCATTATCGTCCCCGTCATCATTATCAACATTCATAACATTGTCGCTGTCATATTCATTCTGGATACCAGTTATCTGAGGCCCTATAATACTTTTAATAGTTTCATCTACGTCGGTAAAAAGAATGGTCTTTGTATCAAAAGAACCACCGCCAGTTTGTAGAGTACAGCGTTTGTTTTGTGAGTATTTTTGTTTTGTTTTCTTTTTTAAATTATTATATTTAACTTTCAAATTTTTCATGTTTTTATAAGAGGTTGACTTTACCCCAGAGTTAAATTCCCCCTCAATTTTTTTCCATGCATCTTCTTTTTGTTTCCACGTCACTGCACCGCTCTTTTTACATTCTACGATATTTTTGTATTTTTCTACTAATGCTACTAGAAAAACCTCTTCGTCGGGTGTAAAATTTGTCGCTCTTCTTTTATCCATTACAAACTAAAATATACCTACCCGATGCAAATAAAACTCTACCTACCCGATGCAGATCATTTACTCACAGTAATTGACGTGCAATGTGCAATAAACAGCAAGATAAACACCACAGAATATAAATAAACACCATAAACAAAACACGGCCTTTTTTTAGGTTAGAGAGCGATTGAACTATCGCAACATTACGCCTATGATCTGTTACCAACTTAACAGAATTTTAAATTAACTTGCAGTTACTAAATTCGAAGACTGAAAATAATTGAAAAACACAGCCACAGTTAATTGTTAGTTAACTTTTTAATTAAAATTAACTAACTAACAAATTAACTATGTATTGAAAAACCGGCCCTTAGTCTCGCAGATCACAAAAATATCAATTTTGTTTTGTTTTAAAAAATTAGTCAAGTAGTCGCACTTGCCCCTAATTCTATTTGAATTCCAAAAAGAAATCTTAATATTTTGTAATGAATTATTAGTGTTAGGCATTGTACAGAAAAAATTTAGATGTTATAATTTGAAATATTAGAATTTACGAAATCCCAAAAAACCAAAAATCTCTGTTGAGCATTCACAGCGGTAGCCAATTTTGCGTTCAAATCACTCACAGCCCTGAGCATTTCCCCCAAATTTGCCATGGAGTTTAAACGATTGAATTCACCAATTACCTTGTTAAATTCAGGAACAGCACCAGCATTTCCCCGACTAGGCCCCCGCGATGTAGAAGGTTCGTTTGCTGCAGCATTATTTTGTTGAGCAGCTCTGTTAGTCCACGCATTAGTCGTAGGTGCCGGGGTTGCGACGTATTGGTTGGATTGCACGTTCTTCTGACCCGTTTTGCCCTGAATTTGTTCGAGCCTGAAGATGTACAAAGGACACACATACTATTAGCTGGATGATCTCCATTGCAATTGGCACATTTTGCCGGAGTTGTTTTCTCTTTAGTGCAAGTATGTGTGGCGTGTTCTTCAGCACACTTCAGGCATTTGAACACCCTCCTACAATTGGCCGTGGCATGCCCCCAGCCCTGGCACCTATGACATTGAATTACTTTACGATCCTGCTTCCTGAGTTCCCAATAAATCTTGGTGTGGAGGCAGAATCGTACATCCTTTATTAAAGAAGCTAAAGTTACCGTATTATCAGTGATAATCATTTGTAAAGGCCTTGATTTAGTTTTTAATTCATAAATGTTAATAATTGGAAGGTTGTGGACTTCAATTAAATATTGTTTGATATCTCCAAGGTTTGCACCCTCAAGGCCTTTCATAATGAACGCATGAGTTTTTTCCTCACTGGGTGTATACGTATGGTATGGTAAATTTAGATACGAATTTAAATTGGCCAAAAGAGTCTTATAATCCGCTAAATTTTTGTAAAAATAATAATATTATTTCTAGTGTACTTTATGTTGAAATTGTCTCCAATAATTAGTTTTAAGTTATGTATTAGTTTATGATGATTATCAAAGTTACCAGCAATGACGATTGGTGGTGGTGGCTTAATTTTGTTTGATTTAATTATATTGTTTGTGGAATTTTGATTGTTAGTGTCTAAATTACTTGTTGCATTGCTGGTACCTTTGACATTGTTATCATTGTTGTCATTGGAGGTACTTGGATTTTGATTGTCAGGATTACCTCCTAAAACTTCAAATTTGTTATTCTTTGTTTGCTTCTTTAACAGCTGGCTAAAGGGCACTGGTTTATTAAACAAAATAAAATCATCTTCAATCTCGCTCTCAGCTTCACTCACTTCGGGTTCAATATGCCTTTTTTCGGCTTTTCTATCATCTATATTCATGTTTGTGACTTTTGCCCCAAAAACTGGGGCCACATTGACAATTTTAACAATTTTAACAGCACTTGTGCCTGCCTCCATTTTTTTATCGTTTACCAAGGTATCATATGTAACCATTACATTCGGTTTATCTCTATTTTCAACCACTTTATCAGAATTTTTAATACTTTCGGAAAAGCTGTCACTGTCACTATTTTTATTTATTATTTCTGGCGCTTCTACTGACTTTTTATTAATATCTTCAACCTGTGTATATAAAGAGCTTACATGCACATAATTTTCCTCACTTCTTAACTCATTTATATCATCCAAATTAATATTTTTGAATATACTTTTTCCTTTAGATTTTTTATTCTTTTTCTCCGTGTTATTTCTATTCTGCTTTGATTTTAGGGCCTCCTTGAGGCCCTGTTCGTAAATACTATGCCTATAAGAAATCTTCCTACCTTCTTTCTTCTTTTTAGGCACTTTTACAAAATTTATTTTTTTGAAAAGTATTGTCAAAAATTTTATAAATTAATTTCTACCTTATTATAAGGATTTGAGTACTATCCCCTTTTGTACGGGTTCTCCAAACTAGTCTTCCAATGTTTATGAACTTCTAATAATATCTTTCGATCTACAAATCGCTTTTTTACACTAATCAAATCTGACACGATCACGAGGACCGGCCTATTCAACGTGGTACATAGACCATAGATGACGTGGTATAAGCTAACCTCATAACGCATTCGGCTGTCAGCCGCTCTTATAAAAATCAATTTTGATTGTCAATAAATATTGTTCATAATATTTTAAAGTTTAATATATTATTTGTGTTGCTGTTTTGAGCTAAACTTTTTGCATCTTTATTTGTTTTATGGGTCATTTAACCATGGAGACGTATATGCATTTAATTCAAATAATACTTTGTTGTTGGCCGTAAACGATTAAAGAAATTAGTTACTTTTAACTGTCAGAAATAGTCAAATATGGTGACTAATCTTAAATTAGTCAAACTTTAACTATTTACATAGTAAAAAATAACTATTTAAAAGTGAAAACGCCTATTTTATTAGTAAAAAATGCTGGTACTAATTCAAATAGTAGAATTTTGACTATTTCATTTTTAGAGAGTAAGTCAAAGAAACCCTTTCTTTTGAGAAGTCTTGATTAGTTCGATAGGTGTATCTGACGTCCAAATTATAAAATAGAGCTTATGCAGACTTAATCAAGACGTCATATTGCTGTCTGGGTTTATATTATAATCATAAAATTATAACTTTTTGTTAGATTTTATCACTCTTTACGAATATACATAATATGTTTCATTACATATTAGTATGTAGTAGTATTGTGTTTCTGTGTTATTATTTAACTCTGGGCCCAAGATCTTTATTAATAAACAATTATTCTAAAAAAATGTTAATAAAAAACAAGAAATAACGATTTTAATTATACAAGGTGTCCCTAAATTTATTGGCATAAATTTAGGAAAAGATTAAGCAAGTCAAAATAAGACGAAAACCTAAATAAATATTTTTCCTAATTACTTATGTTTCCAAGATACAGGGTGATATAGTGTTACCTATCATATAAGTTTTTTTAATATAACTTCTACTATGGTAGTCTTGGAAAAGTGATATTCTGCTTACTTACTACCAAAACACATATTCACACATAATTACAATTATTTGAGTGAACACAGTGTCGTAGAAACGGGGCTTGCTTGATTTAAGCTCATTATCCCATACAAACTTTGAGGTTAGGTTTTTATAACATTTGATACAATTTTTTGATTACCTCTCAAATTTCGATAAAATAAACCGTTTAAGATATTCGAGATTAAAATAATTGTTCTCCGCCATTTGTCAGTTTTTCCTTACATTTCCCTTATATTTCTAATAAAATAATAAATAGAGTCAGCTAGACAACAAGATTCATAAATAAGAATTTAAAATAAAAAAAATTAATAGAATATTTACAATTAAATGTAAAAAGCATCACTCTCTATAAAACTTGGATATATTTCATAGGTTTTGTATAAAACAGAATTCTTAAACTAAAATTAAATAACAAATAAGTAGCTCCTTAGTTCTAATAAAGAATGTGAATATTTTTTTAAGCGTGACCAAACCTTATCCTTATATTTAATGTATACTTTGTCACAAACCGCCTGAATAAAAACAGCTTTGTTATAAAATACACTGGAGCATTATCATTAGATATAAAAGAACTCTGCAACCCACGTAGTTTATAATTGTGGCACAAGATGGCGCCGCTGCAGGCAATGGTATCGTTATTGTTATTTTGCGCGTTACAAAAAGCGTGTGTTTTTGAAGGTTATCTTGTTATATTTTTCTTGTAAAGTAAACCAATTTCTTTCTTTATAATTAATGCAATGTTTCATGTGCATTTATTGTGCCACTTGTAAAATAGATTTTCTTATTGTGAAAAATGTCTCTTTGTCACACTGTTCCGCTATTGCTACGATATTAGAACTTAAAAATAAGAGACTCCTTAAGCGAAACTTTCCTGCTGAGAGTAACATTAAAATTACCTTTAGTTTGCCTAAATAATTGTTACAATGGATATAAAAATGTGAAATATTTATTTTTTAGAGGTAGATGTATACATGTAGTAAGTAAAATTGGCTTTAACAGCATTATTTTTTAACTTAAAACACTTTTCCTTTATTAATGTACTTTTTAAGATTTAGTGTTGGTGGTTTACTTACTTTCTTAGTAAAATTAATTACAAAACAATATTTTTAACAAAATGTTTGCTGGCAAAACAAATTATAGGAAAATTAGATTTTGACAGATTTGACGTTTGCTATATAAATTTTAGGTATAAATAAACTGGAATAAACATTTTTCAAAGCATAACTGAATTAAATTTCTTGTAAAATTGTAACATTGTAACATATTGTTGTTGAGTTAGAAATGGCGAATGCGCCGGGATTAATTTAAATACAATTATATTTGTCTATTTCGATGCTTTTAAAATCATAGTTTTACTACGGTGGACTAGTGGTCAGTTCTGCTGACTACAAACCAAGAGGTCGTGGGTTCGAGTCCCACTATGGTAGGGTTGTTTATTTGTGTTTGTCCTATAGTGTATTAGTCCTTCGGAGGGGACTTTAAGCCCACGGTCAGTTCCTACCCCTAACCCGCACAAGCCATTTAGTTGACTTTTGGGACTTCTTAGGAAGTAAGGGTGGAACTAAAAGAAGACAAAAAAGTGCTGCTACAGTGGCGGACATTATGATGTTGAAAATTCCGTGTTAGCCACTAAGTCTTAGTGACTAACACGGATAGAACCATCGAAAATGACAAAAAGTTTTATTTTGATTATCAATAAATATTTAATAATTATTGTGACATTAAGCTGTGCCAACCATTTTTGGGACACCCTTTATAAATAGTAAAAGATGTAAATTTTTTTAAATATAAATGCTATTTCGCCTAATGGTGTATCTTAAAGAAAAATTAAAAAATGCACTTAACTTTTTCTCGGCTTAAGTAGAAAACGCCGAGGAATAATTTATGCACTCCTGTAAGTAATTCCATGCGCAATTTTTAATGTAAGTGGAGGAAAAAGGGCCGTTAAGCTACACACTTTTTCACTTTTAATTAATCTAATAGCTTTTTATTCAAGCTCTTTCTAAACAATGTCATACAGTGAATCTTAATTCCGCCGGTCCCGAGCAAATTTATGCCGCTTAATTAAATTTTAATTTGAAGCCGCTACATAATTCATAAAAAACACAATATCCTAAACATGCTTTATATAAAATAATTATGCACTCACTTTGTTTACATGCATGTATGTCATGTGTTAGTAATAAATTTTTAGAGACACCCTTAAATTTCTCATTACATTATTGTTGGGGTTTTTTCCTTTGGGTACAGTAAAAATTGCACTCTAAACCCTAAAAAATTTAAATTTATCCACTAACAAAATTTAAATAGTGGGTTACCATCATTTAACCATCAATTCAGTAATCCACAAAATCTTTGGTAAAACTTCTATAGTTTTAATTTGCTACACGCATTTTAATAGCCTACTTTTCGTTTTATTTTTATCTGCTGTTTTACTGCAACGGTCGTCCACTTAATACCATTTACTTCCCTCCGCAAGAATTCTATTTTCCTTTTCGCTTTCCTTTGGGAAATACTTAGCAACATCGTGTTTGACCACTACATTCACATAAAAGTTAATTATTAATCCTTGCATACAAGGAATAAAAGGAACTGTAAGAAATACATAAATTATAAGATATATCTATTTGTGGATCTAAAAATACTATATACTTTTTTAACTGAAGATTTTACAAAATTTTTTTTTGCGTTACTAGATGTACACATAAAATATGGCCGTCCTACGAACGCATTTCGCATATTTGATGCCTGTTCCACAAATCTCGCTTTTCGAGCATGTGTCGCTGGTTTTTTTAACCATTTGTGATATTTACAGTTGGATAAAAACTGGTTTTTAGTATTTATTTTTTTTTTTTTGTTACTTTGCTACTTAATTTTGTTATATGTTTTAGATTTAAATTACTCTTCGTTTTTTCTCAAACCTACAAGAATACAACAGATTAGGTATGTACTCCTATTTTTTTATGGAATATGTAAATACGTACCAGAAAAGTCTAACCCTGATACGACGACCGAAAATAAAAGTTCAATTGGAAAATTGGTCACAAACAAAAGTTTGAATGCAAATACAGTACGGGTCCAAACCTTCATAACCAAATACCGGATTTTAGGCCCTTAAAAATTGGAAATAAGGACACATAAATAGGCAATAAAAACCTATATTTTAGGCCGTTTTAGGCCGAAAGTGTCTAAAATAGGCCTCAACCGCCTAAAATAGACGATATGTAATAAAAACAACACGATTAGGTACCTATAGGAAATAGTTATATCAAAGAAAAGGTATTATAATTTCATATTTAATTATGTAAAAATATACAGGGCGTTCCATTGAAAATAAAAAAGTTATTGCTGTTTTAAGTTGGCTACATTCACATTGTTTTTTATCAAGTATCTTTTTAGAAATATTAAAATAAATAACATGGAATCTTTAAAACAATG